TTGTTTGATCCACGACTGCCAAATACAAAACTTACTGCAAAGGAAAGGTAAGCTTAAATGGGCAATATGGTACTACTGATGTACCTGTTGCCCCAGCATTCTATTTTTTTTTTTTTTTTTTATTATTATTATTTTTTTTTTTTTATTTATTTTTTTTTTTTGTGAAAAAACGTATTAACGTCTAAAAAAAAAATGGTCGCCATTCTAAGGCGAATTAATTGGAATTAATTCATGTTAATCGTGTAGAAATCTCTACGCCAGACGATAAAATATGAATTATGACTAAATATCAAACAAAGTTCAAGAAACAAAAAATAGGTTTATGTCATGTACAGAAACCAAAGCGTCTAACATTTTCTGAGACAATATTAAACCAAGTTCCTACTCCGTGTCTTTATTCAGACACCTTGATTCAGTCAGCTTCAGTATTATGACTGTGATGATTGAATTTTTATAATCATGCTAAGAAAAAATAACAAAATACTAATTCTCAATTTATACTTCATAGAAAGGGAAGAAAGACTCATTCATTATTATGAGTTTGTGGCAGCGTTATCAATTCGTAAAATAAAATCGCATTATTTTTTGGTATTATTAAAAAATGTCCTTAATCTAAACTAAAGGTTACAAGTAGTGGTAGTACTGGTAGGTACCTACATAATACATAGTTTATTTTATGTGGTTGATTCGTTCTTTGACTGACCAAAGTCCACTAGTCCGGTTGTTATTACAAGCGGCCCGATTTATTTTTTGATGCGTCAATAATTTTCTATTACATTGATTACAATGTAATTATTATTGTGTTATATTTATAAAGGCATAGTTATTATCGCTTTAACGCATAATAAGATACTTTGCTTGTCTAAAAGATTTAGCAAGATAAGAAATGATTCAATGTATTTCATGATGTCGCATCTCTTCTTATGAGAATTCTAACGTTATACATAAATAGTTTATACGAACCAATTGTAAAACAGTACATGGAGTTAAAACTGACCTTTTTTTTTTTTTTTTTTAAATAAATAATAATAATGATGATGAAGCCTTACTTTGTAAGACTATCAATAGTATTATTAGCATTAATCATACATTGATTAGTAGGTACAAACCTACATAATAATGTTTTTCCAATACAAGAAAAAAATGACGTCATCTTAAGTACCGATACCGATACAGTTTAAGGAAGCTCTTAGATTTTATCTATTATTTATAGATACAAGCTGGTGAGACGTCATGAATAAAAAAATAAACTTTGTAAAAATATCAGGGCTAAAGAAAGGCCGCAAAGAGACAAACAAAAATGTTGCCTGTTTGTTCAGATACAAAACAAGCATCCGTTAAAATAAGACCATAATTCTATTTGCTTTTCAGTGGCTATCGTGTTTATGTAATAAACATATTATATTAGTAATAAGTTTCTTTAAACCATAAATGAATCTTTTGTTAAAAGTTTAATTGCGGTTAAAATATCATCCCTTTTGAAGTGCTTAAACCACATAAACTTTGTTTAGCATCTTATATAAACGCTATCTAAGTCCACCATCTAGGAACATTTTTTTTTTTTTTTTAACAAGTGGGTAATCTCAGAATGTACTCGTGTTGACGGATGCGATTAAGAATATTCTTAATATCAACGTCTCTGCGCCGACGTGTATAATTATTTGTTTGTATAATTAATTATGTTTACTCGCATGGTTATGATGATTATGAAAAAAATCATCTGGGTTCGATTCGGGAATCGAATAGGTATCTCGGTACAATAAATTCTGTAACCGGATAATATGTACATTGCATTTAAAATAAAAATATTTTAAGCGGCCAGCACATACCTGTACATAGATGGCGCGTCGTCTAGGGACGCGGGTTACCTTGGTGTTCTGGTCGGTCTTTAATGGCGCTTCCCGCGTTGCGCTGGCAGCGCTGGGCATGCGGCGGCGGCGGCGCGGCGCTGCGGCGTAAATAAAGGCGCCTGCGCTTGTGGAAGGCGGCGTGGTTGCGCCGCGGGCGGGTGATAGGTCTTAGCCCATCATACCATACAGCAGGGCGTAGCTTGTCGGTACGGCCTCTGTATAAAGCCTCGATTCACACAGTTATGCGAACGGCTAAAGCTTAATTATATATTCAGTGCAGCAGCCTGGATTAGTTGTCATATCAAATAAATACCTCTTTTCCCGTTTTAGAGGATTATAATGAGTTATAGTTGTCGACCGTCGATGTAATTGGTCGACCGACCGGAAATGTAGAAAGATCTTTGTAAGTTTCCAACAAAAAAAATGTGAGACTGATAAGTACTCAAAATCACAATGTCAGTTAATATGAGTCGTTGCATAGAAAAAACGACATATTGTCATACTTCATATATAAAGTAGGCATTTATTTCCACTTCGACTCGGTTCGGTCAACAAACCGGCCTAAGGTTTATTTAGGATCTTTTATTCTGACCTTATAATAGCAAGTAATGAATCTACATAAATGCACTTTGAATTTTGATCTGATACTTATTTCTTTCTTACTAGCCTTTGTATTTAGACCAATATCGATTGGTGTAATGTATAAAAATACAAAACAACAAAATTATTCAGTTACCCTTTGTAGCATTGAACAATGTGTATGGCCACAGGGTCATCGGTCGTTATAAAAGCAGGCGGAGGCTCGACTGGGGCGAGTGCGTCCGCGGCGCCGGGTCATCAGGCTCCAAGACGGTTGATGGTTCATAAGGTGTAAGGCCAAGAAGGCAAGCTCTTAATGTGGGTAGTTTCGTACAAACGCAACATTTTTCTGTATGAGCTCATTATGTTCTGTTTTTACGGCTTTTTAAAATGGCCGAAAAGAAGATACTTAACTCGTAAAAGTGAATAATATTACAATACCTGGCTATCTCGGTAGTTAATATCTCGTTTTTACTCGCTAGAGCAAAAAACGGCTACTGGTTAAAAAATAACCGAACATAAAGTGGCTGCTGGTTAATATCTCGTATTAACGCTACTGGTTAAAAAATGACCCGCAAAAATGACCGAATATAAAGTGGTTGCTGGTTAATATCTCGTATTAACTCGCTAGAGCAGAAAATGGCTACTGGGTAACATCTCGCATTACCTCGGAGAAAAAAATGGCTACTGGGTAACATCTCGCATTACCTCGGAGCAAAAGAATGGCTACTGGGTAACATCTCGCATTACCTCGGAGCAAAAAAATGGCTACTGGTTAACATCGCGCGTTAACTTGGAGCTAAAAATGGGTCAAAGTTACGCGTCGTGTCACAACGCTTATAATAAAAATGTACGAGCACTTGCACAAAATAGTTGTTACAACCAACCTTTTGTTGGGTCTAATTCTCGTCACTACACTGCACAACTTAAAATAATTACGTTTTTTGTCGGTAAAAACGTCCTGGTGACGTCACTTAAGCATTTTTCTTATACTGCGTGCGGTCGTTGCGCGTGCGCACAAAGGAATGAGACCGCTCGGACACCGAGCCCACAGCGTGGTAGGGGTGGGGTTGCCCGCTCTTTTGTTTTTTACTACTACTGCGCTGAATATTGTGTGCGGATTGGCTTGTCGTACAGGGGTACTACATGGTAAAATAAATCTCGGAGGCGAAAGCAGGATAATTACTATTACACATGACTTATTACAATTCTGTTAAAGTTTCACACAAAAAATACTACATATTTTTCGATATAAAACATTATTCTACACATTTATTTAAAAAAGGATGTAGGTACTATAGTTATAATAGTTTCTAACCTAAGTTCTTTTGAAATTGATCACGATTTTAGACAAGTTATCGTAATTTTATACCCTTTACCCTTAGTTTAAGGCTGACTCTTGTATGTCACCTCACCGTGACATCTACGGTCTTGAAAATGTTTAAGCAATTTCACGCCTTTTTCTCTCGATATTAAGGCTATAACCGCCTGAAGTAACAAAATGTCCCCGTGAGCCGGATAGCATCACAACATCGCACCTCCGATTCGTCTATGTCAAGGCACATCCCTGGCCATTCAATAAGGAATTTCCTATTTTACGGTAGATTGAAGTCATCCTTCTCATCTCAGTTTAAGTATACTGAAGTTTGAGTTAAAACAAACGTTTTACGATAAAACTTTCTATCATAGATAAAGAATAAAGAGGAATGTTACTACTCGTAATAAATTCATTGTAATTAATATGATAAGATGTCGCATAATTATCAACTCGGAAAGGGATCGTAACCGTATCAACTCGAGGTGGTCAGTATTCCATATAATGAAACTCCATACTGCAACGCACACTTATCCGCACCATAACGTAAGTAAACGCCTCGTCTCATGATTGACAGCGCGCGAAAGGCGATGACAGCTCGCGAAAAGCGATGACAGCTCGCGAAAGGCCAGGTGTGAGGCACTTTCCGAGTTGATAAGTCTGCTATGACCTTTATGGTACAATGCCCTTTTTAATAAGCAAACATTTATCTATCAGAATAAACGAATAAGCTAACTGCAATATCTAAACCATTTGGGGAATATAAACCTTACATTATCAAATCTTACAAGTAACAGTATGAAACCTATAACCAGCAAGTAATATAGCGACTTCATAATGTACATAATACTTAATACAGACTCTGCGTATAAAATGTTCATGTTAGTATATTGTCCCCTTGGAATTCAAACCCGCAACCACAACTATCATTATAGTCTAATAATGCTGGCCACCAGATCATTATTAAATATTTAACCAAATCAGAGGTGCGATTGTGTAAAGTTGTTCATGGATGGACAATGAATACAATTGATCATCGATCGTATATCTAAATTCGAATTGTGTAATTTTGTCCATTTCATGAAGACCGAAAAGTGACCGGTCGTATATAATCGTTTCATGGATTTGCGTTTTATTAATTAAAAACATTCGCTGAAACTCATTATTTTTTAACAAATAACGAATGAAATCCATGTTCAAATGCAGTTTTTTTTAATAAAATTTTATGATTACACCATAATAACATACTTTTATTCATAAAAACATTGAATTCGAATTAAAAATTTACCTCTGCAAATCATATAACCAAACGCATAGAACGAATGAAATACGAGTTCCACTACCCGCCCCCAGGTGGCATACATACTTTAAGGCTAGGCAGGCTAAGTTGAATACTACTCTACAATAGGTGGCGTTAATGGACTACGAAAAACGACGTGAAATGATTACTTCTTTTTATTTATTTATACTTTAATGCCAAAATTTTAACCTAAGGCGAACTTAATCTCACATTTAATAAATTATACATAAATAAGTGTTTTGAGAAGTAGTATTTTAATCTATGTTCTGTGAATGACAAGTGTTATCTGTCAAGTGTCAAAAAACTTGAAAAACTTTTACGAAGTTTTTGAATTATGTTAAATTTGTTTATAAACACAAGTAAGTATAGATTATTACACTAAATTAAGGCATTCTATCAAAAATGAAAACAACCCAAGTTTCAATAACTACTCCTGTAACTTTGGTTTCTTCATATCAAATAATCAATTTCATTTTCAGTGCCAAAGGCAAGAATAATAGCCCACGCCAGATGGAGACCCAGCTAAATAATGTAGTAACAGCGCGTGGTCGTGTGATGAGGGTTCCTTGACTTGAGTTCTGGCGCAACACGTCCTGGGCACTAAACAAGATTGGGGATGGGACGTCTAAAGAGGTGCAAGCCTGGAAAACGGTAAGGCCTATTTTATTGACATTAACCAATAAACTGTTCAACATACTTACACAACATAACATTATTATGACTCTTATAATGCGAACAGCTAGGGACTGGAATTTGTTGCCTGCTGCTGTCTTTCCCGAAGACTATAATCCGGGTGTTTACAAGGCGAGAGTGAATAGGCACTTACAGCCCAGATATGTACCATCCTAGACTGCATCCCACTTAACACTTGGTGCGATTGTGGTCAAATACCTGCCTCGTTATGCATAAAAAAAACAGTGAATAAGATTTATCACAATTTTTCAGCCACATTCTAGCTAGCAGCTAACATGTTTTTTTTGTTTCTCATTGCAGCTCTCGTCTTGCTCTACAGCACTTGCACTTGTCCCACCATCTACCAGTGTTGGAACTCTTCCAATAATTTCCCACACCCAGGTGGAGAATACTCCAGTTACTGCTACTGCTACTCTAAAATATGTAAGTTAAATAATGGAATATGATAATGTATGTTTATATTATTATTATGTATGAACAGTATGATTTATGTTGCACAAATAATGAAGGTATTTTTAGTAGCTTTTGCCAGCGGCTCCACCCGCTTAAAATTTAGTTTGTCACAGATTGTCATAAATTATAGACTGTATGTTAATCTAGGTTACAAACAATAATACTGTTAAGTTTACACAAAATCCGTTCAGTAGTTTTGGCGTGAAAGAGTAACAAACATCCAGACATTATGACATCCAAACTTTCGCATTTATAATATTAGTAGGATAATAGATATGTGTTGTAGCTATATCCTAGCTAGCAGCTAACATGTTATTTTGTTTGTCATTGCAGCTCTCATCTTGTTCTACAGCGCCTGCACCTGTCCTACCATCTACCAGTGTTGGAACTCTTCGAAGTGTATTAATGATTATTATTTTAGTAACCATAAAAGTTTAAAACAATACATTTTATTGCATAATTATTTGTTAGAAAAAACGACAAGTACAAATGAGTAGGGAGGCTGTTGATTTTTCATGGTTATTTTATATCTTGTTGTTCCAAAAAAAAACTAAGTTTTCAAGAATGCTGTGATTTAAAGTACCTATAGTATTATATTTAAAATAAAAACTTAGTTTGTAAAGAGACGAAGGCTGACCACAAAAGAAGTACTTATAGCTGTCTGTGTAAAGAATTTAAATAAAAAGATGTGTATATTTGAACAGTTTTCTTTATTTTATTAGTCATTTATTCCTGTAAATAAGCCCACACAGGGCACTTTTACATGTCCCAACATAACTTTACCCTACCACTTTGGCAGTATTGTGGGTTAAGGCTGATTAAAACGTGTTAAGTAGGTACCTACCTAACTACTTTATTGACTTAATTTTAAGTAATTAATTGCGTAGTAGTATAGTACAAAACTTAGTGTTGATGAAAAAGAACTCTTGTGTCTCACTAAAACTTATTTCCATTAACACCAAGCACTCACCGCTTACCACACTTTATCTTTCAAAGAAATAAATTAACAATTTGCATACGAGGACGAGGATAGAATTACACCTCCTATGAGAATTTATACGATTATCATGAGTTACGAGTCACCGCAATCATTTGACATTAGCAATGGGCTCATGAAACTTAGACAATTCGAATTTTCTGTCAAAATCATATTCATCATTCACTCATCGTATAAAATTACGATCAAATCGTTAACATATCGTTATCGTTTTATGAACTCCTTACACAATTAGAATTAGCCGTTTGACACATCATAACGTACGTTATGAACTGTCAAATGAATACGATTGCCTTAGACAATCGCACCACAGATAATAACGTCATTCATTGTTAATTACCACACTTGCAAATTAATCATTTTCATAAAACTGGCTATAGATATTATAAACAAAAACGTTCGTGTTTCAAAATAAACAAACCCGAATATGCAACCACTCGCTTCGCCAGTCGATATTTCCGAACCCCGCGTAAAATACTGCGTGGCCTAATGCACCAATCTGTAACCCTTCGAAACATCGCAAATAGACCCCGCGAATATTTTTTTCCAAACAAATAAACGCCGTTGGGTGTGCTCAAATGGAATTGGACCAATAAACGTTCGGCACCTTTCAATCGAAAAGGGGTTTTATTCTGGCAACAAGCGAAAATGTGGAAATTATAATTGAACTAATTAAAATCGGAGGGTGGAGTGAATCGAAATATTTTTTGTATTTTCTTATTCGAGTATTATCTTAAGGCAATAACAAAAAAATTGATCTCAATTTAAATGGAATAGAATGCAGTGTCAATTTATTATTCAAGACCATAAAGACTATTAAGATCTAATTTTACTTTCTAGTTCTTATGAATTTTAACAAGGCACGGTGATCTAAGAGGAAAGAAAAATATAGAAGAATTCCCAAGTCATGACTCACAAATACGAATATCTATCGATTCAAGAAAACATTTACTTAGCTAAGCTTATCTGGATATGCGTGACATAAACGAGATTTGACGTTTTGCGTGTTTGAAATACGTTGCAGATCGGGTGAAAAAATGTTGTCAGCTTCGTACAGGAGGCAATGTGTGTTGTCAATTTTGTTGCACGAATTCAAGTGGAGAAATTATTTTCGTGCACTCGCGATTTTGTTTACAGTTACAAACTGAAGTTTTCAATTTTCTCATAAAGTCCATAGTTGTCAAATAAAGAGTTAAACGGGCATTGAACACTTGTTTAATTTTACATGTACTTAGTGTGGAAATTGTCTTTTTAAAGATGTGTTGAACGTTCGTTTAACTTTTTGTATAAGCTCCCATTTCTTTAAAGTTGTTCGACGTAGTATGACTTAAGTAATGATTAGGCAAAATATTGATTTATCTTTCTGCAAGGTAGTGGCATGTATCAAATGTATTCCATAAAGTAACTTACAATATTTTTCAATAATAAAACGTCTTGTTATTTTAGCCAGTAGTTACATTTGTAAGTACTGTCATTAATGCACAGCACGTTTATTCATAAACCTTCACAGTCCAGTTCGTCCAGCTGCGAATCTAAAATCTACATGAATCTACTTCAAATGAGGAACCTCAATTAAACCTTATACCTACGTTTGATGAATGATTTCAATTCATAGGGAAATATGTAATTTTGCAAGGTTTATACTAGAGTGGATAAAAACATTCGTATTTCTTGCACCTTTAGAAATAATATGTAATTAAATTAATTTGACCATCCCAAAACCTTCAGAGCAAACCTACTAAGCAGTCGACTGATTTTTGAGGCCTATCCCTTTGAAAGGGTCTTCTGAATGCGGCCTCATTTAACGCCATGCGTCAGTGACTCTCAATGCGTGCTAGGCGTGAGCTTTTTAATGATATTTGTGTGTCTTTTGTAGTATTGTCCCGGTATTACAATGTTCATTGTAAATACGTAAAATTCTTTATTTATTTTGTGAATATTTTTATGAATTGGGTTATGATATTTTTATCGGAAGCTATTTTTATAAGCGCAGCTTTTACTTATTAGACACATATTATTCTTACTTTTTTGTTAAATGCACTAAAACCAGTAGAAAAGGACCACTCCTCACACTTCCGGTGAATGTCGTAAAATGCGACTAAGAAACAACCTGTTTGGCCAGCGTGTAGTAGGTATGTAAGTTAAATCCAAATTTTTTTATGGTTTACTATTTCCAAACCATAAAAAAACGTGCTCATGCAGTGCATACTAAATGACATATAATGAAAATGCCACAACATAGACAAGCTTTTTAAAGGCTGAGTTGCACCACCTTATTTTAACCGTGACTATAACGGTAACCGGTGCTTTTTTATGGAGTTTGATACGTTTTTGCAGCGTGCTATGGAGAGGGCTATGCTTGGTGTTTCTTTGCGAGATCGAATCAGAAATGAGGAAATCCGTAAACGAACTAAAGTTGCTGACATAGCCCGACGGATTAGCAAGCTGAAATGGCAATGGGCAGGGCATATAGTACGCAGAACTGACGGCCGATGGGTTGGCAGCAAGGTTCTGGAATGGAGGCCGCGTACCGGAAAACGCAGCGTGGGACATCCACCTAGGTACAAGGTGGACTGACGACATCGTAAAAGTAGCAGGGAAGCGCTGGATGCAGGCTGCTACCAATCGATCAACGTAGAAAGCATTAGGAGAGGCCTTTGTTCAGCAGTGGACGTCCTATGGCTGAAATAATGATGATGATGATGGATACGTTTTTGACGTTTGTTAAAGCTAATAAGATGGTGCAACCCAGCCAAGAATTTATTATTGGCTCAAGTATTTCTGGTAGTTTAACCAGAAAACTTCTCAGGGGCAGGAAAGTTCTCGATTGGCGACCACGGGCTGGAAGACGTAGCGTGGGCAGGCCTCCTACTAGGTGGACCGACGATCTGGTAAAGGTCACGGGAAGAGTCTGGATACGGGTACCGCAGGACCGTCCATTGTGGAAAATCTTGGGGGAGGCCTTTGTTCAACAGTGGACGTGATTTGGCTGAAACGACGAACCAGAAAACTTAATGCTCAATTAAACTAAAATCTAAATCATACTATCAAAGAATTAACGCTCTATTTGTTTATCGCCTCGCTTTTCCTGTAGTGGATAGCTGACCTTAATCCCGGGTAGGCCTGCCGCACCCATATTAGGGGAACAATATCACTTCACACCCACCTGTCTGTCTGTGCCTCAGCAATTATTGTGAATTATGACAGCAATTTACTCCACCATCTGTGTAGTGTTTGGTTAATTAGTTAAGTTGTACAACAATAGCCCTTGCATAGTGGAGATGGGTGAGTAGGTTTTTTCCTTCAGTAACCTGAAGGTTCATGGTTTCAGAGCTTGCCACAATTGCACGTTCTATCCTACTGCGAAAATGTTTTAAATAATAATAAGCTAACATTTGCTAGTATGTGCTTCGTACAAAGTAATTTAGTTTAGTACTATTGTCGAATGATTTTTGTTTGCACGGATCCAGATTAGTGTAATTGAGCTAAAAATATTTTTACCAAGAAAGAACTCAGTGTCCAAAGGAACTTTGTTGTACAATGCACTTAAAGGTTAAGTGCGTTAATGTTTATTAATTTATTAGGACAGTAAAAATACCATGATTGTAATAGTTGATGACAGTCTTACAAGGTTAGAGACACACGGCATTTATTTCTTTCAGATTTTTTTCGTAATTATGAGAACAAAATAATTATCAAAATGTTCAAGTACATTTTATGTATTCAAATCGAAATTTGCCAAACGTCTAACTATGAATGTGGTCTTGTGATTTTATTTTATTTCGTCTTGTAATTCAGTTATAACATTGTTGTAACCCTTCTGTTACATCCTCCACTATGAACTAGTGTGTGTGTGTCATTGCTCGTTAGTCTTCGTAAAGGTGAATGATTAATTAATGTACGAAGATTTGCAGAGGAATTTCTAACTAAGTGTTAAGGGTTCGGGGAAACGGTTTAGTTTCGCAATGTTCGGCGCCCACAAGGTTATGAGTTGCGGCACATTTTGTAATAGATGGTGATGGGAATGAAAATCATTGAAATACTTTGGGCAAGGCATACAATTTTTAATTTTCCAAGTCATGAAAATATTTCTCCATTATTATAACCTTCATTGCTTCAATTGAAATTATTGTAGCACAGTCACTTGACAGCATCAGATTTCTTTGTTAATAATGATTTTCTTTATAATCTAAGATTCACATTTCATTTTGAAAGATTAATTTTTTAGCCTAATGACGTTCACTGCTGGACAAAGGCCTCCCAAGGTTTTCCACAATCAACGGTCCTGCGCTGTCCGCATCCAGGCTCTTCCCGCGACCTTTACCAGATTGTCGGTCCACCTTGTAGGAGGCCTGCCCACACTACGTCTATTGAGTCATAAAGTCTATTGAGCTATTTTAGAAAATAAAGTTTATGCACAGTATCTACTAGGTACTTGGCCCAAGACTTCTTATTATTCCTACACTCCTGCTTTCTTCTCGCAGAAATATTGAGACAAGCATTTTCACGTTCTACATTATGTATCTTATTTATAACTGTCTGATAAAAAGCACCAGCACAATTAAAACAGGCACAGGTTGTCGATAGCTCTAGATTGTGCCTACCATGAGTTTACGTTAGGTGAGCTCGCTAGCGAATAAGTCAAAAAATTCTATGAAGATTTTATTTCTTGAAAGTAGCCGCTAGGGGCGCTGCACAATATGTCATACATTTAAATGTCATTTTTTTACGCAGTCGCTAGCGAGCACACCTAACGTAAACTCATGGTAGGCACACTGGCGTGATGCCAAAACGCTGACCGTGGCAGATTGGACCACTTTAGACATATACATTTTGCTGTGGAATAAATTCCTTGCGTGTCAAATACGATAAGATTAAGGCTGGGTTGCACCATCTTACTTTAACTTTGACAAACGTCAAAAATCTGTCAAAATCCATACAAAAAGCACCGGTTATCGTCAATGTTACGGTCAAAGTTGGGTGGTGCAAACCA